TCCACTACCTGCCACCCTCATTCTACTGAAACTATAGTTCAAGGTCACCAAACCTGCACTAAATCCAAACGTCAGGATTCAGTGCTCACATACTTAATTTTTGGAAACCTTGTGTTCTCTGGAGTTCCCTCCAGTGCTGCACAAGCTCCCTTGATAATCTCGGCTCTCCTGCCATTTCCAATTCCCATCTATATTCCGATCCTGACGCCTCCCAAATCTAACTCTTCAGTTACGATCTTTTCCAGAATTTCAGGCTCCCCGTTTAACTGCCTACCAACCATGTTCACTTGGCATGTCCCACGATGACTTGGCAAAAGGGAAGGTTTTGTGTCTAAAATGAGATGTAATTTTCCCTGAAAACCTGGTCCAATGCAGGAGCTCCCCGTCCCGATGAGCGCCACCCCCTTGCCTCCCAGTGCCAAGCCCGACGTGTGGCATTGCTCTTGACACTTCCTTCCCCCTCAGTCACCAAATCCAATCCTTCCACTACCAATTCTACTTCTTAATATCTTACTATCTACCTCTTAAATAACTCTTGAATCTACCCATTTACCCCCACTCCCCCTGGGCGGGGGTGCTCAGGATGTCCCATCATCAGCTTTTGTCAAAATCACCAGAACTACCTCCCACTTCTGATCTTGACCCTCTGATCCAGTCTCCACACTATAGTCAGAAGGAGCTTCGTGGAACTCAAATCTGAAATGAATTTCTTTGAAAAGAACTCTTCCCATGACTTCCCTTTGCTGTTAGAATAAATTCCAAACATCAGCTGAGGAGGCCCATACAGCCCGGGCCTGCTTTATGCCCCGGCCCCATCCCTGTCATTCTCGCTGGCACACTGCCCCACTCTCCTACGCCCTGCACCTGCTTTCCCCATGCCATGCTCCAGCCACGGCAATCTTATTATCTTCTTACCCTCTGCCGGAAGCTCATTCCTCTCCATTCTCTCCTGCCACACGACTAGTTCTTATTCCACTTCCAGATCTCAGCCTAAATTGCACAGATGCCCTGCAAGGAGCTTGCCCCGCTGTGTTGCTCCTCACATTGTATGGCCATTTCCTGTCTCCTCAGCTACACCCCCAGAGACTCGATGGGGGTACAGACTCCAACCAGAGTTTCCCAGGGAGGGGCTGCTGACCATTCAATTACCCAAAGTCCACTCTTTACATATTTTTTGGTAAGTGCTAGAGAAAGACCCTAGAGAAGGTGTCATCAGACTCTGGTAGTTCTCCAGTTCTCCTGGCAACATCAAGCCTGAGTATCCTGGATGCCCAGACACTCCTGCCCATGTGGGGTCCGGGGAGGAGCGGTCAGCCTCTCACTCTCCAGATTAGGTTGCACAGCTGCCAGGTCTCTCCAGGATTCCTGACCATGTTGCACATTAAGGACAGGCTTGTCACCCTCACAGTCACCACACCAGTGCCACTTTGGGCCTGAAACTCATTGATTATTGTGTGAATATGCACACATGTTGCTCAACTTTCTCACTTCCCCAAGTCACCAACCCAGAAGCAATAACAAATGCAATTGTTCTCCTTGTGCTTTATAAATAGTGTCAGTAAGAGAGGGTCCCAGGGTGGCCTAACATGTGGTTGAAGCCCATCCATGTTACAGAGCCTTGCCTCACAGTCATGTCAGAACAAAGTTTTCTGGCCGTATGATGAATCTTGAGCTGTGCCAAAAAGTGTGACTTCTGCAGAAGCAGCTGGGTCCATAGACTCTGAAGTCTACAGTGTCTTTCTCTAAATGTCCCTTGCCTAGTATGCAGGTGGCACAGTGTATATACATTGAAAGAATGTTGCAGGTGGGGTCCAGCTGGGAAAACATAAACCACTTTAGGTATTTTTAAAAGAGAAAATTTAACATAGGGGAGAGTTACACAGATGACAGGAGAGACAGGAAGCCAAAGAGGAGAAGGCCTGTCAACTCAGCAATTATCAGCAGCGTGGAGGAGCAGGGTCATCCCAGCGCCAGGGCTGGGTGACGTGGCAGGGACTGGGCCACCTGAGATTCAGTCACCACCAGAAATACTGACTGGGGTCAGCAGGGAGGGAAGAACTACCAGAGCTTGTCGCATGTTTCTCTTCCACTCTCCCTCCATTGTCTCCCATTTGCTAAATTCAGCTAAAATCAGCTGACAAAGGAGTCAGGCAAACAGATTGCAAAGTTGACACCATCATGCCTGGGTAGGGGAAGGACCCAGAACCAGCCCTGGCTTTGATGATTCTTCAGACTGTTATTCTCACAGCCATGATCTATTACAGTAAAAAGATACAAATCAAAACCAGGAAAGGAAAAGACTTGGTTGGGGAGTGAAGTTCAAAGGAAGCCAAGTGCAAGCCCCATACCTCCTGGCGGAGCACCGAGCACACTCTGACCTCCCCCAGCTGGGAGCTGTAACACCACATAGAAAATGCTGTCCACCAAGGAAGCCATGAGAGTCTCAGCACCCAGGTTATTTACTGGGGGCTGATCACGCAGGCACCCTCTGACTAGCATGTACCAAACTCCAGACTCTCAGGGGGAAAGCAGGTGCTCAGCACAAACCGTACTGTGTGATGTAGGCATGCAAACCATGCTTGTTAGCTGGGGAACTGAAGGAGCCATGATCTCAACATCCCGTCAGCTGGATTGTGAAGAAGGCTACAGTTTATACCTCATTGTCCACTCAAGGGACAGGGCAAGAATAGCTAGGCATGACATTTAGGGATCCTGGTTACTGTCAGAAATAAGCAGCAAACTTTGGGGGTTGTTAAGTAAACGAAAGATGCCTGGGAAAAAGATTTCAAGTTCCTTTACTTTTGCTCTTCAGTGGAGTTCTCATTTCTATGGTACGGACCTACCATCTTTCACCTACTTGGCAATGCCCAGGAAGCAGACTGTTTGATCAGGTGAGGACTCTTCCAGCAAACTTCATTTGATTTACATGCAAAACTTCATATCCCAGACAAACAAGCAACTCAGCCACGTCTGGACCCTGCTGGCTTTTTCCAGCAGAAACAGGACCTGGATTTTGTTGCAGAGGAAGGTGAATGGCTATAAATAACAACTGGCCTCCTACAAAGATACTAAACCCTCTGAAATGGATGATCAAAGCCGTCTCTTGGGGGAGCCTCTCCAGCGCCCTTGAGCCTTAGGAGTTGGGAGGAAACTTTCCGCTACAGAAGGACGGGGGTTGGGGAGGAGGATGGAGGGAGGCTGCACAAAACGTTTCTAATCGTGGTACAGCCTCTGCAGTGAGCAGATTGTACAGGAGAGTGGCCCTCTGCATCCGGGCACATCTATAAGGAAGCCTCAGGGGAATCATCACAAAATCTGACAATGACATTTAAAGCCCAGGAAGGAGTTCACAAAGCACCGTCGCCAGAGGGCTTGGGTTCTGAGAGAGGACTGGTCCTTCAATGGCTTTTTCCCTCTTCTCTTGGGATTGATGTAAATCCCCACCAGTGACAGGTCTGGGTGGCAGATGCTCATAGTGCCTTGGCTTCCCAAGGCCGTCCCCTCCCTGGCTGTCCCCTCCAGGTGGCAGATGCCCTGCCATCACCTGTGGTTCACCTCCCTGAGGGGCAGTGGGTCACTGGGCAGCTGCTCCTCATGGCAGGGCTTCCAGAAAGACAAATGGAGAAAGGTGGTCCTCTCCTTAGGAACCATTGTTATTTTTAATTGTGGTACAACACACATAAAATTTACCACCTGAAACATTCTTAAGTGTATGGTTCTATAGTGTTAACCATATTTGCAATGTTGTACAAACAATCTTCAGAATCTCTTCATCTTGCAAAACTGAAACAACTGTGTGTGAGGGTGTGTGTCTGTGTGAGTGTGTG